GCCTTTCGATGACATAGTCATTGAGCCACCCTCGCATATTTTTTAATGTTCATATGTACATTTGTGTGTACGTGTCTGTGTGCACATACATACAAATATGCAATGCATTTTGCACTATGCAAGGAATAGCGCATTAAAAGCTAAGCAAATTGTCTTGCAACGAGGTTATTAATTAAACTTAGCTTAAGTCAGGCCAATCTGTACAGGAAAAATATAGTTAAATAACAGTGCATTTCTATATATATATATATATGTATATATCTGTATGTGGGCAGGACTTAGTTCAGGCCTAATAATAGTTTTGCCGTCGCATGCATGATCTCATTTTACATTTGGGTTGGCAGATGGAGAGAGAAACAGCGTTAGAGAGAGGGAGAGGGAGTGAGGCAAGGTTCCACACATGTTCTCCATAAGTAAAAACATTTCCAGCCAGCTGAGGATGTGTGGTCAATAAGCAGCGCTCTCTGATGGAATTGAAAATATAAACATGGCAAAGCTAAGCAAACATTCAGATAAGCAAATTTTTATGAGCTTGTCGATTCATACAATTGTAGATCTATATGTATATATATATATATTGTACAATAAGACAGCTATAGGCAAAGCAAACAGCAATTTAAAGTAAAATTTGAAACGTTGTCTGCTTCACTTTGAGACTCACTGAATATTTTGTGCTATGGTTGTTTTATTTTTTATTTCATTTGATTCCAGGAATATATTTAAGATGACAATTCTGTATGATATGTTTTCCCCCATCAGCAAAAAAAAATATGCTCTTGATGATCATGATCTTTAGTTCTTCAGATATCTTAGCTACAGATCTCTTAGGAATGCAACTAAACACTTAATAAATAGCTTTGATTTAAAAACTAATAAGAGTATTACATTCAGCATACTCGTTAATATTCCAAAAATGTTTGGTAGATCTCAAGAGGGAAAGAATTGTAAAATATTGGGGCGCTAGCTCTAAAACAAGTTTCTAAAGGACATATATATTCACTATATATTTATATGTATATGAATATGTCAAGCGTCTTTCAAATCTGTTATACCAGATATAATAGTACCTATCTACCCCCTACGCCCCTACCAGAAAAAAACTGCAGGGTAATTCTAGCTCTATCATTTCATTCTGCCTTATGCCGGACTTATGTTTACTCAATACCAGTTCATAAACAAACACAAGCACATCTCACAGAATTTATCTCTGTGCATCATTGTGTCCGTGTGTATCTCTGTATATGTGTGTGTGTGTGGTAAATTAACGTTTTGTTTAGTTCCTTGATTATTTGTTTATTTTCCAGTCTGCTTTTTGTGCTTTTTGTGTTGCGCCCCAAACGAAACTGAAATTAACAGAAAGGCAAAAGAGCAAAAAATAAAAGATTCTTTCAGCAATTAAAGGCGGGCAACAGGAAAGTTGAATTTACCGTTTATCAGATACACTGAAATCAACTGTATTATCTGAAAACGGGTTAAACTATACAAAAATGGATGGAGAAAAGCGAGGATTTATTATTATAGAAAGGTTTACTTTGCTACAAATTGAATGATTTGAAGATACGAGAAATATATATGCCATGGCAGTTGTCTACTTTATGATATAAGCCCTACTTAAAATACTGAATAATCATCTATAATTATCAAGTTTGTTAGGGCTCGAGGCAGCCGATAGTGTTGATTGGCTTTGGAAGCCTTTTTGATTTTTGATTTTTAATTTTTCCCTCTAAAGTTATAAGACTCTATAGAATATACTTAATACGAAAAAACGTTATCTAACTCTCTGAAAACTAAAAGCCTAATATATACAAATATGTATGTGTTTAATGTAACATTTCTGTGGAGTCTCTCAAACAAACAAAAATATGTAA